GCCGCCGGGGGACAAGACGGCGCCACCGGGACCCCCCCTCGCCGCCAACGCGCCGGGCTTCCTGCAAGGTGCCTCCGCTTAAAACGCTTCTGCGCTATTCAGGTCTGCTCCGGTACGTCATAGATTTGCGCGGAGTTAGATACTCGTCTTAAAGATGAAGAAAAGCGCTTGGTGTGCGTGTTCTGTCCCATACAGCATGGGCCACTGCGTTATCCCAGTAGAGCTCAGTTAAAAATGGAGAAGGGAGAAGGTTATGGTCGTGGTGCATCGAGGGAGGGAGGGAGGAAGGAAGGAAGGAAGGAGGAGGCCATCTTGCCCCCTGAGGTGAGATTGGCCCCCACTCTTTTGGCCTTCTGGAAGAGCATCAAGAACTGGCTCTTTCAACTGGCATGGGGACCCAGTGGGGCTTTGCAGTACTGAGGGTAGTTGGTGGCTTGAGGACGCTCTCCCCATCTTTTAGCTTTCTATATTTTTGTAAAGATTTTTATTGTTTTTTATCACTTTACTTGTGAGCTGCCTAGAGTCACTTATACAGTGAGATGGGTGGTGTATAAGTTTGAAGAAAGAAAGGAAGGAGGGAGGGTGGGGGGAGGGATTAATAAAAAATAGATAAGAGAAAAAAAGAGAGTTTGCTTTTGTAACCATAGAGTAAGAGATAATTTTGTATTTGTAATTATACTTGCTATAAAGGAAATGGAAGCAACATCTTTCTATTTTTTCTTTTTGCACTTTTGACTTTTTCTTTGTTCTTTCTCTTTTCTTTTTACTTTGTATTAGTTCTTGTTAGTTTTTATCTTCTGTTTAAATTTTTTAATAAAAATTACATTAAAAAAGGAGTGTTGCATCTAATTTGCCTCCCCTCCTTTCATGAAGGAGAGTGTCTGAAGGGGGGGGGGCTCCTCCAGAGGAGAGCAGCCAAGATGACAAGGGGCCTGGAAGGAAGACCATGAAGAACAGTTAGTGGCCTTGGAGCTGCTGGCCAGGAGAAGAGGAACCCTGTGGGGAAGCTCCCTTAATGCATTTGAAGAGCTGTCATATAGAAGGCAGGGCAGAACTGCTGAAGTTGTTCCAGAAGCCAGACAAGACATGGTGGGCTTGGGTTATGAGAAGGCAGTGCCTGTTGGACATGAGGAAATACTTCCTAACCATGAGATCTATTCAGCAATGGCTGAGCTTGCCTCTGGAGGTGGTGGACTCTTGTTGGCTGAAGGAGGCAGAGGGCACCTGCTAGGAGTGGATTCCTGCCTTGGGTGGGGGTTGGGCAAGATTACATGACATTGCTTTCCATGAATCTATTCTATTTCTAACCCCAGGAACTCCAAAATCCTGCTCGGCCCCCAGAATCACTATCAAAACCTCACCTCTAGGCATCTAGAGTCATGTTTAGTACACCCCATGGGCATTTTACCAGGGGATAAACCTTTCTCTTGGCATGCGCAACATGACAGTGTCGTTCAAGGGACGGATGCTGGCCTGTAGGCAGAGTAGGGACCCGGTGCAGCCAGGATGATGCCCTGTTGGCACATCAGGATCAGGACAAAGAGGACCTGGTAGTCTGGGGCTATCAAGGCTGACCTGAGAGAAAGGAGTCACCACCAGGCTGAAAGCCAAAATCCAGCCCCCAATTATGTCTCTGAAACAATGTCTTTGCCCCAGTCTGTGGAACAGTAAACTCTTATTTGAGCTTCACCTTTTGGGAGCTGGAACCCTTCATTGACCAACTTCTGAGCCCAAATTGCCCAAGAAAAAGACAAACTGCAGCTACATGTGACCACAGAGCAGAGATTTGGGTATTTCTGCAATACTGTACATGTTGCACCAACTTCAGATCTGTGAGATGGCCTGGTTCAACCAGCATGCTAAGTCATAATGTGGCTTTAGTTTTGACTTAGCAAGTTTCATGAACCCAGGCATTGTGCTTTATAAACGAGTTCAAGGCTTAGTACCTTGTAAAAATCGAGCATTACTCAGATTATAGCTTAGCATTATACGTGAACTCAGGTCCTGTGTGCACTTTAAACTCAGGAACTTTGAAGAAAGAGCAACTGAGGTTTGCGCGTCAGGCTTACCCAAGGGGCAGCGCCCTTCAACATTTTTCATAAATGATTTGGGTGAGGGGATAGAAAGGATGGTAATAACATTTGCAGATGACACAAAGTGGGAGGGGGGGTTGCTAACCTCTCAGAAGACTGGATGGGGCTTCAAAAGGATCTTGGGATTGGCCCCCCTCTAATAAGATGCAGTTTAGCAGTGAGACTTGTCAGGTTCTGCACTCGGGCAAGGAAAAACGCACGGCCAGGCACAAGGCTGCCAGTCCCCGGTTCGGCCGTCGTACTCCTGAGAAGGACTGGGGTGTTTGGAAGACCACAGCCAAGGGCCAGCCGTGGGCTCTTGGGCAGCATCGACAGAAGGGCAGCGGGGCTCCACCACGACCGGTTTGCCGGAAGAGACTGGACGGCCGTTCGGCTGGGATGGTCCGAGGATTCCTGCCCCGGGCAGAGGGGTGGATTACATGCCCTCCAAGGTGCCTCCCAGGCCCGTCATTCTGAATTAACCCAATATAAAGGATTCTTTCTCGCTCCGGGCCATAAATCAATCGCCCCGCCCACGCTGGCC